CTATTAGATCTAGTGAGGCTTAATTCCTTAACTTAGTTGTTTGTCTGTTAAATATGTAGCTGATTTCATTTTAGCTTAGTTTGCATTAGATAAAGAAGAGTGGTGAAGGTTTGCTATATATACGTTCTAAGAGTTCTTCGTTATGGCTAAGGATAAGTTTAGGAGCTTTAGAATAGTGCGTCAATATTAATGTCTCTGTATAGACGCTACTATTTGTTTCTATCTTCCCTTATATACTAATTATGTTATTAATTAACGTAGACTGCTGTTAACTATAAGTATATTTATTTTACTTCCCTAGATAATCTATTAGCCTAGATATATTAGGAAGAAGGAGTTTTTATAGAGAGGTATAATAAGGAGAGTAGTATCTCTATAAGTATAATCAAATTAGCAAACTATTTAAGTTAATTAGTTAAAGTGAGGCTATCTCTATCCTTTAAGTAATTAATTTAACCCCCTCTAATTAAATTAACTAACTTAATATCTTATAATCTAGCTAATAGGAGGCTATAGATTAATTAGGGCCTTATTTATTTAGGTATACTTAGCTACTAAAATATGCTACTATTACTAACCCCTTAATTACTATATATTCTAATAAGGCTTTTCAGAATACCCTTATAATACTAGTTAGCAGCTAATCTTTCTTAAAATCTCTAGAGGGATAGAAGTGATTGTAGTAAATCGAATAGTATAAGTATTATTAGGATTAAATACTATTTACAAAAGATATTTAATATCTTATCTTATTTTTATTATTTATATATATTATTACTTTTATTATTTTTAAACTAAAGATATCTGCTGCTACTACTGCTTTATTATTAACTACTAATATATATACTATCTTAGGCGCCTTATACTTCTGAATCTCTTTATAGATTATAAATATTTTTGCTATTATTATCCCTCTAAATCTTATAATTAATAACCTTATATAGATTATTATAGGTAATAAGAGGTATATACTTAAAGTATAGCTATTATGAAAGTAAAAGTAGGGTTAATTTAGTTAGATTTAAGATTATAGCGCCTTCCTTATTAAGGTTATTTAGGGCTATACTAGGGGGTTTTTCTGGAGTTATAATTAATATAACTTAAAAGGTAGCCTAAAAGTCTTTAGTGCTACTGCTATATCTACCCCTATAGAGTACTTACTTTAGTATAGTTATCTTAGCTTTCTCTCTATACTAATTATACTCTAATAATATTAAAGTGCTTATAATATATATAGGATCTCTCTCTATTTAGATAAAGACTCTAATAGTACTACTCCTCTATTATTAGTATATATATTAACCCCTTTATTACTAAAGAGGCTCTAGCTTAGTAATTTAAATATCTTAAAGGCTAAAGTAATAACTCTATATAATCTCTATATAGCTACTATTATCTCTACTAATCTCCCTTTCTCTTACTTTAAGAATACTTATTTCTAATAAGTATTATAGTACTATAATATAGAGATTGCTAATAAGGTGCTATAGGGGTATATATCTATTTATAACTATTTAGATAATATCTACTAGCGTAGAGAGGGGCTATTAATAGTAGAATTTTATTTAATAGCTTTAAAAATCTATTTATTATTTAATCTATAGTTATTTCTAAATATTTACGCTTTTATAGCTATTACTTATTATTTTATTAATAAATATAAAGCTTTATAATCCTACTTTCTAGCTTTCTATTAATATTATAGTAATTATAGTGGTATTACCCTCTTAGAGACCTTTATTAATATTATTAATTAGTATTAGATTTAGGATTAGATTAAGGTAGTAGTCTCTAATAATATTATAACTAATAATAGCTATCTCTAAGCTTTCTATTAGAACCTTAACTTAGAGATAATAGAGATAGATATAAAAGCTTAGTATATATAGTGCTATAGCTATATCCTCAATCTTATAGCCTAGGTATTCCTCTTTAGCGCTAATAAGGGGACTCTTAAGGCTAAGTTAAATTACTATTAGTTAATAGACTAATATAAGGAAGATCTTAAGCTTTAGTAGAAGATTAGCCTTATTAGCTAGCTTTATAATATTATTAAGTTTATTTAGTTATTACTATAACACTATAAATAATATTAAAAGGTTTTAGTAGATATTAATAGAAACTCTAGGGATTTCTAGATCTTCTTAGAGTTATACTAGGAGGCCTTTCTTATCCTAAATAATAATATCTAATAGAATAATATATATTTTATAATTTAGAGAGCTATAGAGAAGAAGATAGAGATTTAGAGCTTTATATTATTAAGTAATAATAATGCAGATATTAAATAATATATCTTAGAAGTAGACTTTCTCTCTTTAGATAACTAGAAGGTATTAGCTGAGATAGGTATAATTTTAGAGCTTTTTTACTATTAGATAAAGAGATATAAAGGATAAGGTGTTAGTAATAGTTATAGTTAACTTTAGGAGGTTATAATAGGTACTAAATATCTTCTTTTTTATCTACTAAACTAAAAGATATATTATAAAGCTATAATCTCTCTATTTATTAATAATAATCTTAAGGATTACTTATAATAGTTATAGTTATATTTAGGCTAAGGTTATTACTATTAATTTTGCATATAAGCTTTCTCTATTTATATTTATAAAGACTAAGTATTACTAGCCTTATAATTAGCTTTATAATTTAATTTACTTAATAAGAGATAGTAGGTCTTCTTCTATAGTAATATTAAATAAGCTTAGTAGAAGTTATAAGAGTATTATAAGTTAATAAGAGACTTATTACTCTTTTCTATAGTAATTATTCTATATTTATTATTTAGTATATTATACTTATATAATATTTAGTAAGAAGATTATTAGAAAGAGTAGGTTAATAATATTCTAAGTAGCTTTATAGACTACTTTAATAAGTAGTATTATAAAGAATAGCTAGAGGATATGCTAGCTAGGCTAGAAGTAATACTAATATAGTATCCTATTAATCCTAGGACTTAGAGTAATAATAACGTTTACTTCTAGTAATAGGTTAATAGCTAGTGCTACTAAATACTACCCTAGGTTAATAAGCTTAATGTTTTCCTCTAGAGGCCCCTAGAGGCTATTAATAACCTTATTATGTAGTAGCTATAGTAGTTAGAGATATTCTTAGTGCTTTATTAGCTTATTATTAATATCTTTACTATACTAGTGATATCTACTAACTATAAGAAGGCTTTTAGCTAGGCTAAGTTAATTTTTATTTTATAGAGGTTTATAATAAGCCTTAGTATTATAGAAAGTCTCTAACTAGTGAAGAACTAGCTGAAGAGGGGGGTTATACTACTTAGTAATAACTTTAAGTTATTAGGATTATTATGAATTTTTTTATATAGCTATAATATATTTTTATATAGCGATTAATTTATTTTAATTGCAATTAGTCTAATTAATTAAAAACACTAAAAAAAGTAGCTAATTTAGTAAGTTAGGGGGTTAAAATTGACTTGATTGTACTTGCGGAGATGCTGAGGGAGAGATGTATATGTAGGATTGAGTTGTATTTTGCATTATAGAATGGGGACTTAGAAAGAGACATTATAGATGGAACCAAATTCAGTGGTCCTTAATCGACTATTTCAATCAATCTTTTGAGTACGTCGCAATAGAAATCATAGCAACCATCTTATCACAAGTCTACTAGGTAGTCATCTCAGTCACCTGTGAGCTCCTTTCTTGTATAGGAAAGGCAGCTACGTCAAGGTCAGCAACTATGGTATGCAATCACGCTTATGCATCGGAGTGAACCGCCATGAAGAACACGGACGACGCGGTTGCTTGTTGGTTCTTCATTTTTATTAGTTCCTGTTGTGTTTAACTCGTGCTGCTTCTGGATGAGATCATGACCAGACGTCCACGCTTTCGCATCTCCGATCTCCTGGCCAGCAAGATGATGCAGAGACCGGGACGATGCATTTTGGCTTGTTCCTGCGTGACCATAGTCTGGCGTGTGCGGCAGCAGAGACGTCGCCATTTCAGATAGATATATTAATAACAACAAGTCTTACTTGGTCCTTCACAGCGTATCAGCCATTGCGCATATTATTTGAAGTATTTGCGACACACTCTTCTATTGTCAGTCGTCTTTGGTATGTTAGGGTGGGCTCTAGACTTCAAAGCGACCAAAATAGCGTCCACAGAACCATGATCCACCCATCGAGCGCGTTAGTGTTCCGTCATCGCCGTTGAAGGAAGAGCCACTTGATTGGCTGACACGGAATCGATGCCTAACTTTTGTTAGTGCACACTTTGAAATTCCGTTGCGGCTCGGTGGTCATGCAACCCTATTGGCCCAAACGGAATTTACTGTGCCCATGAAGCACGTATTTCCGGAATTTCGACAGCCCACGCTTGAATGTGAAAGGACTTGCGGGTATCTATGCTGCTGAGGCAATTGAGCCAGACGTATATTAAGCCTCGTTATCCTTCCAAAGGTATGTGTAAATCTACCTAGTGACTGGATTCCTTATGATCCGAAAGTACAGAAATCGAAGCTAACATGGACGTCAACCAGCTGTTCCTGATTGCGACTTCGCACCCTTTTGCGTCGACTACAGTCTTTCTTGTTGTTCTCGTTGGTCTCTATACATTCTATTGCCGTAACGTTCATCCTTTGGCAAGATTTCCAGGTCCACCTCTCGCGTCACTTACCAACTTGTGGAGACTCCGGGAGCTATGGGGTCTGCATCTACCCGATGCTCTCGTCGAATTACACGAGAAGTACGGTGATGTTGTCCGGATTGGTCCCAACATGCTCTCTTTCAGACAGGGGACTGCTGTACCCAGGATCTACAAGGCCGGTCGATCTTTGGCCAAGACTGCTTTTTATGACGGCTTCACTTCTTTCAATCCCAATTTGTTTGGAACTCGAAATGAAGAGGTGAAGTCAGCAAAGTACCACAAGTATTAAAGGCCGTATACTCACTGTCCAAGGTTCACTCGATGCGGCGACGGCAGATGGCGCACTCATTCTCGCTGCAGTCGATCAAAGAAATGGAGCTGCACATTGACAGCCACATGCTTAAATTCCGCAAAAACCTCGACGAGTACTCCCGAACACACCAGATTTTCGATCTCAAAGAGTTGATAGCGTTCTTTGTTCTCGACGTCCTCGGAGATCTTGCCTTCCGCTATCAATTTGACTCGCAGATCGAAAAGAATACTTTGAAACTGCCTCCCATCAACGATCACATCTTTCTTGCTTGCTTGATGGGCATGATGCCCAACTTTATGCCATTCGTCAAAGCCGTCTCTCCCTGGATTCCGATTCCGTGGGTGCAACGACTTCTTGCGGCACGACAGAATCTTAAGAACCTCACCATCGAGTGTGTCAAGAGCCGCATGGCCGACCCTGGTGCTGCTCGAAAGGATCTTATCACCAGTCTGATCAATGCTCGGGACCCGGAGACAGGCTCTGAGCTGACGGAGCTAGACATACAAACAGAGGCATTCGCGTTTATGTAAGTCGTTGTAATTGTTCAAGTATCCCTTTCCCTTCCGGTCTGACTTCTCTTCAGTGTTGCTGGCTCTCATACAACGTCTGGAACTCTAACTCTTCTCTTTTCTCATATCCTTCAAAACCCGGTTGTTCATGCCAAAGTGGTTGAGGAGATTGATTCAGTTGTTGAAAACGTTGGGTCGGCAATTGTACCCATTAAAGACCTCGAGGCCAAACTTCAGTTTGTTATGGCATGTGTAGATGAAAACTTTCGTATGAACGCTGTTTTCACCATGCCACTGGAGCGTGAGGTGACTGCCAAGGAAGGCTTCGAGATTGAGGGTCACGTAATTCCCAAAGGCGTAGGTCTCTTCGTTCTCCCATTGCACATGTACTCACTTACAACGGATGAACAGACCGGTGTTTTCAGCCTAAACCACGTTGTTCATCATAACCCTGTTATCTGGGGCAAGGACCACAATGTTTTCAACCCTTCTAGATTTTGCGATCCAGAGGGTGAGAAGCTCCGGCGTTTCCTGAGCCCCTTCAGTATGGGCCATCGCATGTGTATTGGACGCAATATGGCCATGACAAACATGCTCAAGCTCGTTGCGACAACGTTCAAATGTTATGACATTGAGATGGTAGGACCTGTGCAAGAGATCTCTACCATTAGCGTTGGAATTTCAGAGAAAGAAGGTTCATTGCTGTGTCGTGTTCGTAGACGATAAGATAGACGAATAGTGCAAATGGTCACGCAATACCACTATTACCAACCTCATTGTGCTCAATGACAAATTGGTAAAGCAGAGGAGCATTATGTCCATAAAAACATGTAGGGCATGGATTTCAAACTACACAGAACTAATTTCTTGTATCGGTGTTCTTGTTAGTTCAGCCATCTGTGTGTCATCGACATTCTCTGGACCATAGATAGATGGCTTTGAAACAGCTGGTTATTTAACTCCAAGACGTAAGTTGTACAGGTGTCTCAAACCTTATTGCCATATTCTGATCTAGCGTGTCCCAGCTTGAAGCTCCTGTTAAGACCCTGCACTGCCTTACTGTGCTAGTTGACTGCATGTTGTTCGAGGAAGCCAATCGCCTTCCTGAGAGACTCAACAGCAATCACCGCATCCCCAGCTGAAGTTTCGATGTTGACGTCACCCGCCCTTGCGTCGAAACCGTGTTGTGCGTTAGCTGGGAACTCTGTAAAAACGCCCACTCCAGATTCCTCGAGCTTGTCTGCGGCCTTTGTGCTACACTCAAGCGGTACAGCTGAGTCGTTCGCACCATGGAGTAGCATGATAGGCGGGAGGCTCCTCAAGTTACCAAAGTCGAGCGGGAATAGCTGCCGATGCTGTTCAGGTACTGCCGTAATTCCTTCGGCAGCAATTTGGCGAGCAAGGCCAGGGACCCCAGCCATGTAGTCGGGGAATATGGCGTCAATGTGCAGTGCGGATGCAAGGGCAAATTTGGGATCAGTAGCAGGGTCCCCAATCGGATAAGCTGAGACCGGCTTCCTGTCTTCGCCCGAAGTCTTTCTCATGGGCCATGCTTCCAAGATAGGCCCAGTCTCGATTAGTGGCCGGTCAAAGATGTTCTTCCCAGCGGTCGTGTATCGAGTCCCAGATGGATCGAGCATTCCGTAAATCAGCAGCAGTGCATTAGGCTTCTTAATGGCTGAGACGGCTGTGCTAAGAGCCAAATACCCTCCCGCGCTTGACCCAGCGAGTGAGAGTGAGCCGACAGGGCGGCCCAAGATTTCAGGAAGTGACGACCAGGCCCATTTATAGGCATCCGCGGCGTCTTGAACGGCATCGTGTGCGGTTGATTCGGGCATCAAGCGATAATCAGGAGTTACGAAGACCCATCCACGAGAGGCACATGCATGCACAAGCCAGTATGGCAAGAACGAATATCGATCCCCGACGATCTGAGAAACCTCTCATATTAGCTTTGTACGACGTAGATCGAGCCACGCGCTGAGAAAGTTGACGTATGCAGATCGAGCGACAGCAGTTACATACGAGGAAACCGCCGTGATAATGCAGCAGCACGACAGCGGGAGAGCCATCCGACGTCTCGGGGTACACGACGTCGGCGTTGATGGTTGTACCATCCGAGATGACTTTGAAGGGCACTGTTCTCGACGTGTACCCCGCCAATCCCTTCAGCGGGAAAGAGGAGCTCATGTTGGCAATTGCGGTCGCAGAGGGACAATTCCCAAAGATGCAGGGCCCAAAAGTTGACCAAACAATAGCGAAGACACTGGCACGGATCGTGGTCACTTCAACTTCACTTCCACAAATAGATGAGCCGCGGGGTCGAGTGCACTGAGCTGTCCCTTTGATGTTTCGCTTAGCTATTACTAAGTAGTATGACTCCGACGAACGACCGGGGGCAATTTGACCCCGCTATTAGTTGCGGTCCGGAAGGGGCCGGGATTTGCTCAATCGCCAACCGGAAAGGTCCAATTGCTCGCTGCGCAATTTGTGGGTCCGGGTGTAAGGTCGAAGAAATCATTAAGCTGGTCAAAAAACATGATGTCTCCCGTATCCCCGAACAGAAAGGCATCGGATGGACTTTCGACGCCCTCTCCTTGTTCACCCGCCCCGCCACTACTCGATGCCGTGGCTGAAGAGGCGGATAGCTGTGCCCTGAGCTTCTGGAGGCCTTGAAGACGCTCCCATAGAGCCAGCAGCAGCGGCGATCTGTTGCTTAAGGTTCTGATCATTTCCAGCGCAATGTCAAACTCAACTGTGACCTTGTCACAGAACATAGAGCTAGCATTCACAACCGCCAACAATAGGTTACTAAAGGCAGTCAGCAAGAGATACTTATAGAAAAGTGGGTTACGCTTAATGCGTGAAGTGGCTTGATTAATCTAGCTATAAGCGCTAGGCGCGGCTAGCTATAAAGTAGTATAACTAATCCTTTACGTAAAAGTAGGATTTAAGCTAGGATTTAAGTTTTAGGTTTAAGTTTAGCTAACTATTATCTTATACCCCCTTTTTAACTAATACTTCTAATATTCTAAGTAAAGTTATTTTTATTTTAAAATAGTAATCTAATTAATTATATAGTAATTTTATATTATTTCTATCTCTATATATTATTCTTATTTTTTTATATTACTATTATTATCCTATTTTAACTTTAAAATATTTTCTAACTTTTTTTAACTTTTATATAGTTAATTAATATTATAACTACTATTTAAGTTATTTCTATAAAAATAATTAGATAGCTACTTAGTATAGTTAGTATTATTTTTTATTTTTAATTTAAATTAAGTCTTTAAATTAGTAATTTAGAAGTTTACTATTTAAAACCTCTTTATAAAGTTAATTTTTAACTTAGATAAGTTTAAAAATTATCCTCTTTAATTTAATTTTAAATTTTATATTTTAAATAGCTTTCTCTCTCTAAAAATAGTAATTTTTAAGTTATTAATTAGCTTTATAATACCTCTTTTCTAATTTATTAATTATATTAAGTTAAGTATTAAATATAATAGTTCTTAATTAATATTACTTTAAAAATTAATGTTCTTATAATATTTTTAAAACTTAGTTAATTAATTTTTTATTTTTTTAAATTTTAAATTTATATTAATTTTATTTAAGTTTAAAGTTAATTAACTTTTATTAATTAAACTTAATATAGTTATAATTTAGAAAAATACTAACTAAGATATCTAATTTAGTAATAAACTTATAACTTAGTAAAGTTATAATCTTTAATTACTTTTTAAGCTTTTATTATTAAATAACTTCTTATATAAAAGACTTTTATAGTTAGTAATTTAATTATTAAATAGAGTAAATTAAAGTAATTAAAATAATATAAAGTTTAATTATAAAAGTTAATTAGTTAGTAAAATATAAGGGAATAAAGTTATTATATATAAAAGAAATAAATAAATAGAAGGGATTTAATTAAAATTAAATCTTAAAATATTATCTTTAGATTAAAACTTATTATTAATTATAAATAGTTTAGATAAACTTAATATTTTAATAAAATTATAATACTTCTCTATTACTAATAGTTTAGTAAAGCTATTAATAACTATCTTATAAGTTAAAATATAATTAATTTTAAGATCCTTATTACTAATATTATTAATAATTTAATAATATTTAATCTTAATATAATATAGTTTAAATAACTATTTACTTAATAGATAATTATTAAGGGTATTTATAAAATCTATATATACCTAAAAGAGTAATTAAATAGAGATATTTATCCTTTTAAAGAGATCTATAATATATAGTAAAGCTTTCCCTCTAAGTATTAGATTTATTTATTTAGCTTTATAAGTTAATATAGCTATAAATAATTATAATACTAATTTTTAAGTAATTAATACTCTTCTATATATAACTATATAACTAGCTATTAACTTACTTATTCTTTTATAATTAAATTAGTTAGTATTATAAAATACTAATAATTTAAGGTTATTAATAAAATATCTTAAACTACTAAAATAGAGTATTAATTATTATAAGCTATAGAGATATCTCTATATTAATCTTAGTAGTTTATTATATTTTTTAGAAATATATTATTAATCTTTAGTAGCTTTACTTATAAGTATTATAATATTTAGTTATATATTATTTATAATCTACTATAACTTACTTAGATTACTTTAATATTTATATATTTTAGTAAGTATTTTATATTATTCTATAATCTCTAGTAGCTAAGTATTACTAAAGTAGTAGAGTATTTAGTTATATTTAATAATACCTTTCTCTATTAATATATTATTAATATATTTAACTTATAAGATCTAAAGTTATCTTATCTTATAATAGTATATAATTTTAAACCTAAAGAATTATTATACTTTACTTAAATCTTTAATTTAAAAGAAGTTATATAAGTTATCTTTAAAGTTATTAATTTACTTAATACTAAGTATTATAATAAATATATTATTAATATAAAGTAATATTATAATACTATCTTTATCAATAAGAATATAAAGTTCTTTTAGTAATAAATAGAATTTTAATTATTTAAACATAGTAATAATTTATTTATATTACAAAAAAAGAAATTCTCTTAATTTATAAAGAGCTCTTTTTAATCTATAGAACTAACTAGATCTATTATTAAACTTATAAAGTTAAGTAATAAAAATATCTTAATCTCTTATAAAAGTATTTAAAAAAGCTATAACTATATTAATTTAGTAAAATTTTAAATCTTTAAATATTATAATTAGTAAAATAACTTATAAAGTAATAAGATTAATAATAATAGTATAAACTATCTTATTATCCTTATTTTAAAAGTTACTATAAATAACTTATCTTACTTTAATTTTATTAAATCTTCTATTTATAATAACTTTTTTATTATATATTTATTTATTTAGGAGATATTTAAAGCTATTTAGAAGTTCTTTAAGATATTAATAATTTATCCCCTATAAGCTATTAACTTAAGTTTTTATAGTATTAAAAATAGCTAACTTTAGAAGTTTCTCTTCTATTACTTCTTATTTTCTAAAAGTTATAAATAAGTAAATCTTTAAACTAAAAACTTATAATAAGTTAGATATTAAAAAAGTAAAAATAACTAATTCTTAGTCTATTTTATTATTAATTAGGTTAATCTTTATAGTTTCTATTTTATTAAATTCTTTATTAAACTTCTTTATATTATATAATATCTAAGTTCTAAGTATTTAAGTTATTTAACTAAAAAA